AAAAAAAAAAAAACTCACTGGTAGTATTGGAATGAAGTATCAAGCATTATGTTAGTGGTACCCCCTCCATATTTCAAGAAACATCTAATATGGAACAAAAAGTATTTTCTCCTAAAACGAAGAATTATAAGAAAAAGTCTTTCTTATTGGCCAGGTACCATGGTTCACATCTAAAACCCTAGCACTCTGGGAAGCTGAAGCAGGTGGACTGCTTGAGCTCAGGAGTTCTAGACCAGCCTGAGCCAGAGCAAGACCCCATCTCTAAAAACTAGCTAGGCATTGTGACAGGCACCTGCAGTTCCAGCTACTAGAGAGGCTGAGGCAAGAGGATTGCTTGAGCCCAAGAGCTTAAGGTTACTATGAGCTATGACACCATGGCACTCTACCAAGGGTGACAAAGTGAGACTGTTTAAAAAAAAAGAATTATTTATTGAATATCATGAGTCAGAACTGGATGCTGCCTAACAAGCAACGCCTAGTATTTGTAACATATTTATATGTGATAACGCCTTATATTTTAGATTTTTGTTGTGGCAGTACCCTATTTCCAGTACTGTCTTTTATTAGTACAGAAAAGCTGATATGAAGTCATCCCACATACCTCAGTGACTGAAAATAGCAGAGATGTATTTATCATTCACATAACTGTGTGTTAGTTGGGTGCTTTTTTCAACTTTTTCCTGACTATAAGACTCTGGCTAATGGAAGCCAAGATAATCTGAAACATTGTTGGACAAATTATTTGTCACTCTTCCCACAACCCCTATCAAGAATTTATTTCCCCTCCCCTTAAAATTGAGCTGGCCCTGTGATTGCTTCTACAAATAGACTGTGTTATTTCCAGGCCTAAGACTTACAAAAAGAACTGGAAATTTTTGCTTTTGTACTTTTGAAAGTCCTGAGTCACCGTGTAAAAAAGTAAGGCTACTTAAGAAGTTTTGTGAAGAAGAGAATCACTGTATGAACAGAGGTTAGAAGAAAGGCTTAGACATTCTAGAACCCACTTGAGACTCCAAATTATCCCACTCCCAGATAATACCCGCTGGAACCACAAAGAATTATAAGAACAGTTGTCAGCAGTCCTTTGAGCCCATGAGCTCATTCAACTCACAAAATCATTAGAGGTAATAAATTGGTGACTGTTTAAGGATCGAGTATTTTGTTATGGAGCAATAGATACGTAAAATATTCTGTCACTGTGGAAAAAGGAAAGAGTGCATGACAAATGTGCACAGGTTCTTAAAGCTTTTGTTTGGAAATACTACAGGTCATTTCCAATCACATTTCATTGGCCATGCTTGAGGTCAAAGGAGAAGTCCAAAGGGAAATCCAAGTCTACTACGTGTGTGGGAAAAGAAATGAAAATATTTGATGGCTAGTACTTATACCTCCCAGAGATAAGTTGGAGACAACAGGTAAATCAGTAAGTAATGAAGTGTCAGGGGAAAAATAATAACAATAGGAGAAAAGAATGTTGATGACATATGCTTGTAGATGACGCCTAGGAAAGGTATAAAAAGGAAAAGTTAGGAAGGAGTATGAAAAGGAGCATCTACAGGGGCAAAAGGAGAAATCTTGGGATTCAAAGGACAGCTGCAACTGTGATAGCCAAGACTATAAAATAAAAGACCAAAATGGGTGGTATAATCAAGGAATCCATGGAAAATTAAAGGAAGATTATATTAAAAAAAAATAAAGAAGGAAGATCAGTATGGGCTGATAAAGATGCTTAGGAAAAGAGAATTAGAGAAAGAATCAGAAGGAAACAGAATTTAGATGGTTGGAAAAGAGAAAGGAGGACATTCTTTTGTTTTGTTTTTTAAGTCGGTACATTTTAATTTACAATTTTTACCAATAAAAAGGATTAGTTACAAAAAGGGAAGTCAAATACAAATTTTTTTTTCTATTCATAAAGAGAACCACTGTCATTTCTTGCCTTGCCAAGTCAAAACTCAAACAGCCTCTTTTGATAAAATTATTCCAGAAATCCAGACAAAATCAATAACATTATCAGCTTCCTAACCCTGTTTAGGAGGAAGAATTTTAAATACTTGTAAACCTTTAGAGAAACAACTACTCTTAGCTAGCTGACTTGGTAAGAGGGGATACCAGAGACTCCAGCTCACTTACCATTAGAATTTTCTTACACATACAGTGAGTCTCCACTCCTGTGCAGTGAGTACACATATAACATAACAGGAATAATGACTTTTAAAATTTTACAAGTAAATGTTATTGGGGCCACAGATCAACAGCAACATATGACAATTAAGGTTCAGACTCTTCCCATTTTATTTTGTCATATAAATTAAATATGGAGAGGTACACACAATAAACCTTATTAAAAATGAGGAGTGGTTTTCAAACTCCCATGTCCTAGTATAACACACATCACCATGAAAGAGTGGGGGAAAGAGGAGTCATACAGTCAGAGCACATGTCCTGAAAAGAAATGATAAAATGTTCAAAGCCTTTTCAGTTGACTCAAAGTACCGCAGCCCCTCAACACTGCTCCTAGCAGTCTACTTTCAAAATAAAAACATAAAATAAAATAACTGTGTGAAACAGCATAGCCTTCAATAAACTTTATTTGGCGATGAGCCAAGCTCTGATGGAAAAAATCCTATAAAAAAGGAGTTATGGGTATTGAAGCTGGTCTGATTCAAAGCTTGTACATTTAATTATATGATTCACGTAAATGTGCTTATATTAGCTTTAAAAAATTATCTATGTGTGAAGAGCTGCACCTTCCTCACAATTAACTAAAGCACTTCACCAAAAAATTGACGGGAGAGGGTACAAAAAAATGGCAATGTAAGTAGGGTACCTTACTCAACAAACATACTCTCAGAATAAGAATGAAATGGAATCAATGCCAAGGAGCCTCTCAAGGAGAGCATCTCCCTTGTAGCCAATGTGATTTGGAACTTCCTAACACAATGCTCTGGGTTCACAAAGCCAAGACACCCTACAACTTAAGAAACATGAAAAGATCACATCTACCAGGGTTTACACCTAAGTGTGCTTCCTCCCCACCTTCTTCCTCTTTTTCATCTATCTCATTGTCAGTCTCCTGCTCCCCATTTTCCTCATTAGTGGTCCCATTACCAGGGGCATCTCTTCCATTCTCTGCCCTGTCCACAACTTCCTTCTTCTCCTTTAAGTCCTTGGTGGTGATGTCGGAGCTGGTGTCCACTGCTGCATCTGACATGGTGGGGCACCTCGGTGATCTGATGCAGGGGATGGAAGAGAAAGTAAGAGTTTGGAGATTTGAACACTGGCGATAAAGCTGCCAGAGTCTACAGCTGCAGAGGAGCGCAGTGGAGGTGATTGTGATGAGGAGGAAGCCAGACCCAGAACAACGCAAAAATAGGGCTTTTCAGAGCCTCCAGTGGGCAAGACATTTATTTTATCAAAGATATAAAACTTTATGCTGGGTGCAGTGGCTCACACCTATAATCCTAGAACTTGGGAGGCTGAGGCAGGCAGATTGCCTAAGCTCATGGGTTCAAGACCAGCCTGAGGCAGAGAGAGAGACCTTGTCTAAAAATAGCCAGGCATTGTGGTGGGTGCCTATAGTCTCCGCTACTCCAGAGGCTGAGGCAAGAAAATAGCTTGAATCCAAGAGTTTGAGGTTGCTGTGAGCTATGGCACCATGGCACTCTATCGAGGACAACAAAGTAAGACTGTCTCCAAAACAAATAAAAAAGATATAAAACTTTCTTAATTGCATGGCAGGTGATGTTAGTTGGCTACCCAACATTCCTTAACCCACTTCCTTGACAAGAGAACTTCAATACTGTCCAATTCCTCTCTTCCTTCCAAACCAATCAGGGAAAAGAAACCTAGATACCCAAAATCCAGCTCCAAGGTACATACTGATAGTCTAAGCCAGTAGCTCTGAACCATTGCTGCTTCAGTAGAGAATGTAGAGAGGGTGGAGAGAAAGAGGGTTATTTTTCTGTGTCACAATGCCTGATGTGTGGTAGTAATACATAGTGGGAAGATGCTAAATGTTCAGCAATGCACAACACAGACCTGTGTAAGAAATGCCAAAAGCCAAGTCAGACAAACACTAAGTAATCATGGTAGCTCCTTTCTCCTCATCATTACTGCTTTAGGGGTAGCTAGTGACCCAGTTCTAGCCAATGACATACAAGGAGGGGCCTGCTCTGAAGTTTCTGGGGATGCTTTCTTCCTATCAATGGCGTCCCAATTACATGAAATGCTTGGGACTGCTAAAGCTATCTTTTCCTCCAAACCAGTTTTTTCTCCATCTTCCTAATTCCATCATTGGCACTTTCATTTTCTGTTACCAAGACCTAAAGCAATTCTGACTTCTCCTAATCCTTAATTTTTAGGGTGACTATTCCTTTAGGTTTGCCTAGGATAATCTGATTTTACTTGTGTATAATTATTAACACTACCCTCTTTTACTTCCAAAAGTGTTCTGTATTGGAGGATAGGTGGTATGGCCACTTAGTTAATCTCAACTGATTTGTGTTTACTCTGCCTCCAGAAAGTACCTCTAATGCCAGGGGTCAGTAAAGTATGGCCTGCAGACTTTTTTTGCACCTCCCGAGTGCTAAATAATGGTTTTTACATTTTTTAAATCATTGAAAAAATCAAAAGATTTCATGACACCTGAAATTAAACGTCAATATCCATAAATAACGTTTTAATGGAACACAACCACTTCATTTGTTTATGGCTACTTTTTCATCACAATGCAGTTGAACAGTTGAGACAGAGACCTTATGCCCCACAGTGCCTAAAATATTAACTGGCCCTTTATAGAAAATGTTTGTCAACACCTGCTCTAACGTCACTACTAGTTTTGCCTCATCAATATCTTTAGTGGCTCCTCCAAAACTAACAATATAAGGCCCAAACCTATTCTTTGGGACTAAAGACTATAACCTAGTTTTCCAGACTTAGCTCCTCTTCTTTTAAAACAAGAATGGGCCATCCTAATAAGTTCATACCATAACCTCCCACTGCTTGTCCACGCCAGTCCTCCAACCCATCCGTTCCTTAAAATTAAAAGAAACCGGGCCACTCCCTTGATACACCTTCATTCACTCATCAAACTAGGTAGGTGATGGGGAAGGATCAGAGACACAAAAAAACAGACTAGGGCGGCAAGACATCCAATAAGTGTGCAAGGTGGGAGTGCCCCAAATGAGGCTTCAGAGGTCACATTTACGCCAAGATTTTAAGGATTTGAGAGGCTAAAAAAGTCCCAGGAACCTAAAGTATAACCTGTAAATAAAGCTGAATGGGCAAAAATGACCTCATCGTAGCCACTATACTACTGCTGCAGAGATTATCATTCAAGACAAAGACTTATAGTCTAAACATTCCACAAGAGTAGCCCTGACCAAAACAACCTGCTCGGGTCAGCTAAGTAGCACGGTGACTGCCCGACACCAAAGATTCCCAGTGAGGACTCCGTACATTGTCTCTACTCCAGATGACGCCAGCTAGT